GGCCTTTTTTATGGGAAAACAAGACTCAAATTAGGGACAATTCAACTTAGGGACACTCTTGATGCACCCATTATGTCCGCATCTTGGGTTAATACAGTGAGACCCCCACATGCATACACCTTGAGATTGGAACAGTTCGACTTAGGGATATTTATTATTCAATTAAAAAATCATAAAAAGGCCCAAAATGTGGACACTGACTTGACATGAGGACATTGCATCATAAAATTGCCAATACATTTTAGGAAAATTGACTTTTATTAGGCTTAATTGCAAGAAACACACACCGCCTCAACAACCAAATCCTTAAAACCGAATCCTTGAAACAAGGATCTTGGCTTTTGAATGTGACATAAATTTGAATTTGATTTTAAATATCATGCAGTGGCATATACTTTGATTTGACCATTTTCGTATTACTCACACAAAAAAATCGACCGAAATATAAAAAAGTCAATTCACGCTACCATAAAAAATATTAATGCAGTAAAGTTAATATTGCTGGGATCTACGGAATGGTCCCTTTCTACGATGGACAGATAAAATCAATCTGACGCCACACGTGGTCCAAGAAGGTACTCTCTCTTTATTTTTGTCAACATTCGATGAAATTCGTTTTAAATATAAATGAAACTCGGAAGTTTTGATTGTTTTTGCCAATTAAATTTAAAATGGCCAAATTAATCATGAAGTGCAATACGAAGAAAATAAATATTGCACTACTTGTAAATGAAAAACCGCAGTGGATAGTCGTCACTTTGAAATTAATCTTCGGCAGCATCCATATTTTTCAAATTGAAAAAAATTCCTTTGTTGATTGTTTTCGGCCTTTTCGAGATTTTCCAGAGATAAATGCTCGTGAATAAACATAGTCACCATGTAAATATGCTGTAGATAATATAAATATAAAACAAAAGCGTCTAAAAAGTCGAATTTAAGTTTTGTTTGAGACTGAAAGCGATTTCTCATCCTGTATTTTGATTTCTTGAATGAAGTTGCGTTTGGAAAACTGTCTCAAATATTTTGTACAACCCTGTATATATGCCTGCTGTTGGCATGACAGATCGGTTGCATCGTAGCTTAAGCATGTATTTCTGAGAAACGGAACAAACAAAAAAATCAGGGCGTGAGCAAGGAACATGACTCAGGTCCGCATGCGCATCTAACAAAGGACAAAAGGTATATAGAGAATTCGGAACAAAACGAATGAAACATTTGTTTCGAAAACGAATAATAGCAAGTAAATGTGACATGTAAAAATTAAAATAAAATAGAATAACACATGCGCATCTAACAAAGGACAAAAGGTATATAGAGAATTCGGAACAAAACGAATGAAACATTTGTTTCGAAAACGAATAATAGCAAGTAAATGTGACATGTAAAAATTAAAATAAAATAGAATAACTCTCGAGGAACTGCCGCATTCTCGAAATGATTCGTTTAGTCCTCTCAGCCTTTCACGCTGCGGTTTATTTTTTTTTATATTATTATTTTTTTCACAAGCAACGGGTTGTGGTCGAACGGGTTCGTTGAGCTCATCTCTGGAATTATTAGTTTTTTTTTTGTCGGCTGACGATCGCTAGGGTTCAGAAAAGTGCTTTCAGCTTTGAAAACGGCGGAACACGTTTTGTAAATTTCGATGACGATTGAACGTTCATTGAATATTTCAATAATTTTTTCGAAATTTTTGCTCGTTTTTTTACAGGAGTAAAAAGTCAACATTTTCTCATCGTTGCGCGCCAAAATGTTTCTCATAAATGGATATAATTTAAAAATTACAGTGAACCCGTGAATATCAGATGTACACAAGTTCTTCTTCAATTTTAAATCATCTCCTGATACATTATGCAAAAGAAAGAAACATTTGATATACTGTATACTGTATATTACGATAATCTTGGCAAGTGAATTTTCCATTTTATTCTACAATCCATGGACACCATAATAGATTTTCTAATTCAATCCATTCCACAGCAATAAAAAAACTAAATTTCAAAGAAATCTTCAAAATGAATGCTAAACTTTTGCCTTGGTTATATTTTTCAAAATTGAATGAATGAACAGAAAATTTAAATAAACTTTTCTTGATCCGATCGGATTCTCAATTCCACACGTTTTGCATCCATTCTCAAAATTTTCAAATCTCAAATCTGATTCTTTTAATACAACTTTGAGAATGTGAGCAGAATAACTGAAGGTTTAAATAATCTTTTCCTTTTTAAACTTGCAATCATGTCAAATATTCATAACCAGCTCAGAATTCGAGATATATACATTAGATGCACCAAAGTCTGAGATAGTTCAAATACGAGGGTTGTCCCAATTGAACCTAACAGTGGGTATTTCTAGAGTGGGTACCACTGCAAATAAAAATGCATGCTTTATCAGGTGATGTTCTAAGGTTCTGGGAATTTTTTCAGATTAAAAAAATATTCAATTTTTTAAATGTACTGACACATGAGTGGAGAAGTGCACCAAAAACTGAAAAGTTGTCACTTGTCATCATGCCAAAAATTGAATTTTTTTGTGAAAAATTTGAAAAAAATCCTGAGAACCTTAGAACATCACGGGATAAATAAAAAAAATTGCATTTGCAATGGTACCCACCCTAGAAATGCCCAAGTCTACATTCAAGTGGGACAATCCTCGTATGCTGTACAAGGTACTGTATTGTACAGTATATGAAAATTGAATGAAACCGGAAGCTGCGTTGCGAAATTTTCGCATGTATCATAACTTCGAATACTTGAGCAGTTTCAAATGGATAGATTGAAAAAAAACGAATAGACGACTGACCTTCTGCATTGGCTTCGCAAAAATCTGGACTCTCTTCGAAATACACCAGGTCGCCCTTGGTGGGTGGCTGAGCAGCCCAGGCATTGCTGACGACGAGTCCGGCGCCGTCGGGGCTCAGTGTCACTTCCGTCGCACTGTCGAACTTCCGCTTGAGGAAGTCGCCGATCCCACGGAAGCTCTCCAGTCTCTGCCAGCAAGTCCGCACTGCGCAGGAACCGGAAACCCCGTGGCACTTGCAGTCCAACGACAGATGTCGCCTCACCGCCTGAAGAAGGAAAAATACTGCAATTCAAACGCACGCGAAATTTTTAAACTGGCACATGAAATTCCATTATCTGCATTGATTATTACAAAAACTACAACAACAACAACAAAAACTGTCCAGAGGTCAAACCAGGACCATTATAATATTGGTGCTATTAGTATAATTATCACGAAATTTCAAGGTTCATCGCAAGAAATCCATTTTTTTGGGGTCATGATGAAAAAATACGTCCCGTATTTCAGTTTACAGAGTTTGTTGTTGTGATGATATACTTGTACAGTACGTGCAACAATCAGAATAAAAGTTAGAAAACTAATCAATTTTGCTTAATTTTTTAAAAATAATTATTGAGGACAAATGTCTTCAATATAATTTGATGTGGAGTGTTGATTAAAAGATAATAAAACACATTAATCAGTCCAGGACAGGACCTGGAATTCCTTTTAGGAATTCTTGGTTTAAAGGGAAAAGTGATATATTTCACAAAGTATAACTGAATAAATTGACTCAACAAACTCAACTTGCAAGAATAACTTGGATAACTTGAGTAACACAGCTGAACTGATAAATTGATTCTTCTGATGATATGAATAAGAGCAACTTATATACTGCTAATTATATTTAACCTTGAAAAGGTTTTACTTCACAAATCAGAAGGAAAGATATATGGTTATTGAGTATGTTGCGAGCACTGAGATTTTGACGAGGGGGGATTATTTTGTACTTCTGAGAATTGCATAGAGTGCATTACTTTACATGGCATGCATGCCCAACAATAATGGCAGTTTAGATAAATATTTCCATATTGTCTGACACATTTTCTTCCTGAATTATAGATGTACCTCGATGGGCTCACACAGTGGCACACACACAAAAATACAGACAGTTTGACAAACAAATATTTAAAATATTCAGAAAGTTTCAATACCTGGAACATAACCAAAGCATTAAAATATTACAAGTACTGTTTTTTTAAGCATTTGATCATGCAATGAAGTTTCAAAAAAAATTATATATTTTAGAGCTATGCTTGTTTAAAGAAGGCGATCATAGTATTTTTAATAGCATATAATAAAGGGATGACTTAAAAATCCCAAACTTTTGAAGAAATAAGGTAAATCAGTACTGTATAGCATAAAATGCCCCATGGAGCCAAAATATTATAATGTAATAACCTGCCTATATATAAGACATATCATTGAATTTTTTTATATTTTGTTTTCATGTGGGCAAGTTCCTTCTTGACTTTTACGCCTGGCTTTATGTCAATATTTCTCTTAGGAATAAAAATGGATTTAAAAATAATCATTCAGTGTTTTCGATTAAATTTCCTCACCTCACTTATTCTTTTCGGTTTGGGTTCAGAGACATTCGATATTCCCATCAATTGAAATATTTTCACCGTTGAACTTGTTCGTGACTTTCAAGATTTCTCAGAGGTATAACAGATATTAAATGAAGCGAGTAAATGATTACATATAAAGTGTTAAACTCGAAGCCGTTATTACGATAAAAAAATCTGCGAAGCCCCCTTTGACCTACTTCGAAAAGTGCTTAATATCAAACACACCGCAAAAATATAATACCGCTCAAACAAGAAATTAATGCGCCATTGAATCTTTGGCTCGTCCACTGCGTGGGCAGACCGAACTAGCTTGTGACAATTCGGTGCCGAAATTTTCATCCGCAAAATAATTCCACATCTCTTTTGGTTTGTTTGACAAACCTTCTTCCTTCCCTCTATTCCGTTCGTCGACCCCGTGTATATATACAGTATATATATATATATAGTATATAGTGTGCGAAGTTCAAAGTCGGGGATAAATGCGCAGGGAACCCCCAAGTAATTCATACTTGTAACAAGTGACCAACAAACCCCGTCCTTTCGTGGCCTGATACTGACGCGATGAATCTTGCGAATCTCCTTCAAATATCGCAGGTGACTCTGAGCTAAAAGACTAAATATAAAATATGCCCAGAAGAAAATGTTGGCAGTGTGACGTTGCTCTTAATTTATTTTTAAGAACACTGCTTTTTTTTCAAATGCGTGCTGATCTGAATTTTTTTCTTTTATACTCGAATAAAACAAAAGACGGGTTGCTGAATCCGAAAACGAAAAGAAAAAACCTCTGCCAGTTTCGGCTGATGACGAATAAAAATTATCCAGCGGAAAGATGAACGGGAATCAAAAATTTTCGCAATCTGAATTCAAGAAATTTTCTTTTTCTTAGCCCCACACTTTTCGGAGAACCACTCTCACTCTCAGGATTTTTTTTTTCATGGATTCTTGATGAAGAAAGTGTCTCAACAGTCAACACACTCGCCGTGCATTATAGGCAGGATATATAGAGGTCTATTTTTTTTTTGGAATTGTTTGAAAAGCTTATTTGATTTTTCCATCACTGACCTTTCGCCCAGCACGGTTATTGTGCAGGTTCATCTGGGCCCGGGCGTCACGAGTGAACTTGTCCTTGGAGTCCACGAACTTCCGCGTGAAAACGCTGCCGTAGCGCACGTTGTCAGTGCAACCGCCCCACTTGAAGTCCGGGGCATACAGGGTTTCCAGTTCCATGCCTCTCACTGGGTACTACAACATATGAAGAAAAAATTTGTAAAACTTTAAAAATTGAATTCAAGCACTGATGGATACTGGGTTGATTGATAATCTGAATGCGAAACGATCAAAAATCCTTTTAAATGGATGGGGTGAAAAAAGTTCAAAAGTAATTTGGTTCCATCATGTCAAATACAGTGAGACCCCCAGATGCAGACATCATTGGTGCATCAATAGTGTCCCTATTTTGAATTGTCCCTAAGTCAAGTCTTGTTTTCCCATAGACTTACATTATGTAATTTTTAATTTGTGTTTTACTGAAGAAATATTTTTCAGAATTCCACGAAAAAAAATTGTTTGCCACTCAAATTTGATACAGTGAATATATTTTCAACCCAATAAGAAAATTTGGAGCATTGAATAGTATATCACTGTACAGTTCATTGAAATGTTGGCATCTGTAAAAATAACATCCAAGTCACAAAGAGAGAAGAAAGTCCCTCTGTGCTATTTGTAATTTTTTCAAATTAGCCGGATGGATCGGAAAGTGATGGGGAAAGTACCAAAGAATTTTTCTTGCATAGCTCTTAGGGTTAGAAATATCTGTTTCTTGAAATTAAGCTTAATAAAAGTCAATTTTCCTAAAATTCATTGACAATTTTATCATGCAATGTCTTCATGTTGAGTCAATGTCCATAATTTGGGCCTTTTTATAATTTTTTATTGAAAAATAAATGTTTCTTTGTCAAATTGTCCCCATGTTGAGGTGTCCACATGTGGGGCTCTCACTGTACATGGTCATTTTCAATTACAGTGAGACCCTGATATTTGCAGACACCCCAACATATGGACAATTTGACTAAGGGACACTTGAAAACCAAAAAAATCAGGCCCAACATGTGGACAATGGCTTGAGTTAGGGACACTTTCCTGAAATTTTCCCAAAAAATCTAAACATTCTATTTCCAAATTTTGATATCTTTCAAACAAATCAAGCTATTTACATGCACAAGATTGATTATTTTATTTTTGACACATCCTATATGTGAAATGTTTCAAAAATTCTACAGATCTACACCATCAAAAACAACTTTCAATATCTTTCTGCTTTGAATCGAATTTAAAAATGTCAATGATCAAAATCGTCACTGTGTGTGTGATTGAATTATCATTTTTTACGTTCACCTATACATGCATAACTGCTTGAAAAAATCAATTTGTACAATCAAAGATATATTTAGCAGAAGTAATATGTCCAGTTCTAATTCATCCAAATCACCATTAACTGTGTCATCGATGATCCTCGTTCTGAAGCTTACAGTTTTAAAAGACTAAATTTGAAAATATTGAAATATTTTGCACACTCGATAATTTTCTTCACTTTCTCCTCAACCAAACGACCCTCTAGGAAAAATGCTCACCTATTCTATTTGAAATTGCTAAAGTCAACGAAAATCATCTTGAACCGTTTCGTCCGCATTTTTATAACACAGAAATCATCTCCTACAGAAAAATAAACGAAATTTCAAAAAAAAATTGTCAATAACAAAACCCACTGTTTTTTTGTCGCAATGGCAAGTGGCTAAATCGCCCCGACTGCAACTCCGACTCACGGCGTAAGTGACTCCAGCCGA